CTAATTATAAAGTAGCCTTATTCACTTAACTAAACTTGTGCTTTCAATAAAAAACGTAACATATTTTACATCTTGCATATATATACCTTCAACTACAAAATGAGTTGAGATCAAAGGTTTATTTTAGACTTGCATATTATGATTATGTAGTAGTGAAGGTAGGTGCTTCTTTACTGGGGTATGTAGTTCAAGTAGCCTTTTAGTTTCACATGTAGTTAAGTTCCATTATGTTTCTATGTTTTGTGCTTTATCATTGCTATTCTCTCCTCAAGTTGTATCACCTCTCTACAAGAATTTGGAGTCATCGACAACAGCACAGCAAAGACCGTAGGTACATATGTGTGTTTATTGGAACTGCCTGAAAGTTTTGTCTCAGTTATTTTAGGGTGTGTAGGGTTGCTTGTTTGAAGACACAGGTGTACAGTATGTGAGTATATTACCGTGAGTGAATACCGAGTGCTTTAGGGGAAGGACCAGTCATAGGACTTAGGGTGTGTGTGTTTTTGTTTGGTTAGACTGTGTTAGTCTTTGTTAACGTTCACCTAATTAAGTAGTGATGGCTGATGAGGGTTCCTGAAATTGGAGAAGACAGGAAAGATTAAGCAGAGGAAGTCGTTATGTATTACCCATTTATTTTGATAATGTCAGGCATAGTCACATTTGTTTGTGAAATTATATGTCAGGAAAATGTTGTGCAATTAATCTTTGTTTGATGAGCTAGAGGGGGAAACAACTTTATGATTTGGTCTTGGAAATGTTTAAAATGCATATCTCCACCTGGACATTTTAAAGTCTCTAGAATGAGAACTTTGACAGGTTACAGTAGGCCATAATAATTATCTTGACAGATATACATAGATCGACCTGTGAGGAGAGTTAGTGAAAGATATAGAATCTTATGGAATTATTAGTTTCTTTATGTGTGTTGGTATTATCAAAAAGTATAGCTCAGGGTATAGGATCTGATGAGGTGTGTTGCTCTTGTAAATTTGACTTTCACTGAATAGAAAAAAAGAGAAGAGTACAGAAGAAACACTTTATAATGTAAACACAAAGTTACATATACCCTCCTCCTGGTGAAATGTGAAAGGGAAATGCAGAGCACAGTAAAAAAGAACTCTCCAAAATATTTTCCACAGTCATTATGTACCTCTATAGCAGTTCCCCCAGAGAGATGGCTTCTCCTTTGATTTTGAGATTGGCATATGAACAGTTCATTTGCATCTGTGTATATATGATTTGCTCTGCATTTGCTACTATTAACTTCAGTATTTTCAAGTTCAAACTGTCTTTGTGTCTCCCATCTTTCCTTCCCTTTTATTTTCGTATTTTACATTTTCCAATCAGTTTCCAGTTGTTATGTGATTTACCATACTTGGTATACATATGCTTTAGCTAACAGATATTAATTTGTGGTCAGAATTTTGAGGAAAACAGGAAATGTCTGAAATTCTTTAACCTCTCATCAGGAGAATGACACCTAAATGCATTATCGCAAATTATTTGGAAAAGCTGTTGTAGATTATGGAATCTATATATATTTTTTCTTTCTTTCTTTTTTACTAGCTAAAATCATGCTACGCCCAAGTTTTCAGAAAATATGTTTGAAATCTTCAGCCTTATACAATAAAAAAATGCTAAAAGGCCATATGTCTAGCCTAGTCAAAGTGCTGCTCTCACAACTGCATAAAACACCAAAGCAGGTTAAGAACATCTGTGATTAAAAGATCCTGTAAAGAGGGTTTATCCCCCTCTTAGGCTCCCTCTACATCCTTACTCTTTCTCCAGCTCTCTAACATAAATTCAGCTCTACTGACAGTGAATAACACCTATTTACAATATTTGTTGACATACTACTGAATGCCACGGCATGTCACATATTGTTGAAAAGTGACAATGAACGTATACATATTGTTTCAGCTTAATTCTTCACAAATTAGAAAGATGAAAAGCAAAAATGTGCTCTCCTCTTTTGCCTATCTTTCAGAGCCCCCTTTTCATCCTATTTTAACTAGAATATTCACATTTCTGTTACTGTTTTTATACCCAATAAGCAATGAGGCATGGATGAAAGTAAAATAACCAGGAAAATAGTGAAGAGAGAAGTTATTCAAAGGAGAAGGAGGGTTAAAGGAAGTCATATAAGTACTTAAAAATATTTTGGTGGCTTGCTTGTTGTACAATACTTTTTAAGAGCTGAAATGTGTAGCAAGAGAAATATTTATCATTGGCTCTGATCTGAGATTAGTTAAGATTAAGCTGAAAGCCAATCTCTATGATGAAGAGAGTTGATACATAACTCATGCAAGCCAAGAAGTATGGCTGTTTGAAAGAGGGCTTTTTTGAGAGAGCCAAATAGTAGTAGAGGTTTTAGCTTTTTCAAAGGATTTTTTTTTCTGGTGTCATTTATCTTGCGAGCATTGAATATTGAGATACGAAGCCCTCTTGAAATATCAACTCAACTTAAGCAGTGAGGTCTTATTGGATTCCAATGCTAAACTCTTAGATCATGAGTATTATAGGTAATGATAGGGTGAAATAGAATGTTTGAAATTGAAATTGCCATTGAGTAAAGGAATCATGAAACTTTTGTGCCTTATTCAGAAAAGAAGAAAATTGGTCATATTTGATGTTATATTTGGTTTAAGATTATTTATAAGGAAAGTCATTGTTTCCTTGGACTTTTAGAAATTTTGATGTACAAGCAAAAAGTTGTGAATGTATATAGTTGGAAATGAATGCTGTATTGAACAAAATAATTGAAGCAGATAAGGGTGGGGAGACATTCAGTTTAGAATTGTAACACATGAACACTGACCAGAACTGGAGAGTATATAGGTGATAATCAGACAGTTGTACTTAATAAGGATGTAGACTGTAGATTATTATATCAGACGTCTTTTCTGCTCTTGTTGCTTGAGAGACCCTTCACAGTTACTTTAGCAGAGAGTCATAAGCAGCAATATCCACTGTAAGTAGCCTCAAGGTGTAAAACTTTCCGAGTGCAAGTGCTGGCCGAGAAAACACAAGTCAAGAAACAAAAGTATTGCAAGGAACGGAAGGACGGACAAGGAGTGAAGAGTTAAGCATGAGTGTGTGGTGCTCTAATGCCGTATGTGTTTGGTCCGCAGATGCAGGCTTGAGGCTCTGAGTTTAGCTGTGAACCAGTGATACTACAGCTGTAAGTATTTTGTACCCAGGCCCTTATTCTGAAACATCACTTTAGCGCTAGAGTCATGATGATGTTTGTAACACAACCACAACCCATGTTATTTTAGTTCAAGCTCTGTTTTGTTACACATCCTGGAGTGATGTTGGAGAATTGGGGCCATGGAGGCTGGATTGCACTACATGAATCAGGGACATTGAGTAGCGTCACATTTAACAAAGCTGCTCTTGCTTACTTCCAACGAAATTTAGTCGATTAATGGTTGATTTGTATATCTTACCTTTTTTGCCATAAAGGTTGATTTCAAGAACATAGTACCTGAACACTGATACAAAAAAAAAAAAAAAAAAAAAAAACTTCTACACACTATATTACACCTGTTGGATTTCCCTTTAGACTCACACACTGAAAAGAACACAAACAGTTGAAAATAAATGGTTTCACACTATGTATGGAATCAGAAATTTGTGAATGTACACACATCAGTACCCACATATTAATGTGTGTATTACAAACTTGAATAGGTAGTGTAGTGAAACTCAGCCTCAAACTTTGAATGTATCTATGAATTTTGTAGTGCCTTTACCCAGCCTTTATTATGGTTTGGCATGTTTGTCTGTTTAGTTGATATGCATTTTTTGTATGTTTTATTCGCACACTAGTGAATATGGATATATTTATATATATATATATTTAAGTGATCCTCTTAATGATTTCTTTATTCCAAATTTCATATCTATAATTATATTTAATCAGAATAGAGAACTCAAGAATTTGGAAGGATATCAATATGGGCATTCTATAAGATTATTGATATACCAGCCATTAAGTTTGTTTTTCTTTGTATAAAAATTATATAAAGACATGGTACAGTGGTACTGCACTGTTGTTTCCATAGTTTTTAGTACTTTTATTGACATTGTGCTGTGAAATAGGAATAGGATTATTCAACAATATTATCATCATCATAATGTCTTTAGTTCCCCCCTTTGGAATTAACTTTCCCCCTTCTCTCTTCGCGCAGAGATTGACGGGACGGAAGGTGCAGGTGCATCACAGAATCTTCCATCGCATCCTCCTGGTTCTCGTCCCAAGCCAGTCCTACCCAACCTAATTGCCAAGCAGCGGTCGTTCAGGTGTAAGCTGTCAAACAAAAGCAAATAGTGCTAGTTCCTTCTGTCTGTCTTGAACATGTTTGGAGTCATAGCCAGAATTTGCTGTAGTGAAAGACAAGTCACAACATTATTTCATATATTTTATTTAGTTTATTATTTTTTTATTCATTCATTTTTGTTTTTTTGTTTTTTTTAACCTCCCCAAAAAATTATGACAATTCTGATGGCTTCTGATGTCACCACTTGGTAGTGAAAGTAATTTTACTACAAAATTGACACTTGCATACCCAGTTTTTTAAATTGTGTTGACATAACACTGATTTTTCCAACTGGAAATTAAAGTAAACAAATTGTGACATGGCAGCTCTTAGCTATAAAAGCAGTAATTATTGCCAAAAATTGACAAGTAACTTGATATTGCTCTGTTTTAATCTGAGAACTCATCCAGTGAAAGGTTGTAACTCAGGTGTTATTAGAATGTCATATTCATTATCTATTAGAAAGGTTTCGTGTATGATGTGATTGTCCTCAATGCCTCTTAGTTAACAGAAGAAATAATAGAGCATTGTTTAAACCTGGATGTAAATGTTAGATTATATGACCATAGGATATAATACACAAGTCCTATTTTGTAGAAAACTATGATGGATGTGATATAAGCTTGCTCCACAGACTGAGCCTGCAGTGGTTACTCACATACTGGCTTGGGACAATGTGATACTTTCTTCATTCATGGCCAAAGGTATACTAGATAGTTGATCTAGTTATATAAGTTATTTTGGGTGTTTGTTGAGTGTTTAGCTTCCTTACCACCATTATGTGGGCCTGAGTAGAGGCTACTTTTATCAAGAAAATTTAATGTCACACATTGCTTATTCCAAGTTATGTTTGGCAAGTACAGTTGTGTGTCAGTGTGACTGCCAAGTTAAATGTGATCAATTTGATCCTCTTTTTCTATGGAGAAAGAGCAGCTTGTCTGTACTAGGTACATGAGTTCTGTAAATATAGCTTGCAGCTAATTAAGGAAGGAATATCCTCAATACTTTTGAAATGTAACTACTTGTGACCTGTTCGTTGTTCTCTGCAGATTGAGTTTGGACACCCAAGACAAGGGTATTCACTAATACCTTAATTCAAGCCATGTAATGAATGAGTTACATAAGAAAAACAATCAGTATTGTATTTTTTTGGCAGATAAGTGAACTTTTGTACAATAATCTAAGTGTAAGTGTGAGAGTGGAAGAGAAATGAGAAATGTATGCAGATGTAGAGAAAAAAAAAATAAACAAACTAGTAATTCAGAAACTCATGTTGAATAACTGGCATGTTTTAGCTTTTCATGTTCATCAGGCTATTGAATATACACAATGAGGGATATTCTACCAAGAATGATTCAGCATGGAATCACTTTTCTTGTGTGCATACAGCTATAATCCAGATCAGGCAGTGTTAGCTTTGTAAAAAAAAACAAAAAAAAAGAAAAAAAAAAGAATTAAAAGGAAAAAAAAAGAAAAAAAAAGAAAAAAAAGAAAAAAGAAAAAAAAGCATTAACAGTTCACAATGGCTGTACACACTTAGGAATTTAGCCTGTAGGTTTTTTTTCTTTTTTTTCTGTTGTTGTATTTTTTTTCGTATGTATTTTTTCATTTTAAGCTTTATGTCCACTTTTTATCATTTTCGCAAGTGGTACTAAGTCCTTTGTGATTGTAAGAGTTCCCCAGTTGTACTGCTGGGTCTCTGCTGGACTTAGTATTGTCAAACAGATGTGAACTTCTGTTGAAACCATATTTGTTCATTTGTTTTATTATTATTATCATCATCATTATCACATCATCATATTCATCCTCATCAATTTCATTATCATTATCATAATCATAATTATAATCACTTTATCATCATTGTCATAACTTTATGTATTTGTAGTTTTATGGTTAGGAAATGCGGTAATACATAGATTTCATTTCCTGCGAGGAGTTTATATTCAGTGTATGTTAAAGACTATAGCACAAAGTATAATTCATTCAAATCGCGTTATATTATACTTGTTTTTGATATATGGAGTATTATGGTTTTCATGCTCGGTGAACTTTTCACGATTTTGTTGCTGTCATTTTCATGATTGTGATTGTTATAATAGATAATGATGATATTGTTACTGTTGCTGTTATTATTATTATTATTATTATTATTATCTTTTCTGTTATTATTATTATCATCATTATTGTTGTTACTTTTATTATCATTATTTTTATTATTCCTATTATCATTACCGTTATTGTTTTCTATATTGTCAACGTTGTAATCATCATCATCATCATTACTGACATTGGCATTGTCACCATCATCATCATCATCATTACTCACTATCACCACAATAATAAACAGTATTATTATTAATTTCTATAACTTTATTATTATTATTATTATTATTATTGTTATTATTATTATTATTATCATTATTATTATTATTATTATTATTATTATTATTAATATTATTATTATTATTATTACTATTGATTATATTTTTATAACCTTGACAATGACTACTACTGTTAAAATAGATATGACTTTTAATACTGTTACTGTACTTTCCACAAAGCTTGATACAGTATCTCTCTCTCTCTCAACAAATCACTAACTTGATCATCAGTGTCATAGTCTGTGTCTTCACTAACATCATTATGTTTCTTGCCTCTGTTTACTTGAAGTCTGTGGTATTAATTATTCTAGTAATGGTATTATTTGGGTTATCCTTATCATTATGTTTCTTTTCTTTTTTTTTCTTTTTTTTTCTTTTTTTTTTGTCCTTTTTCTGTGTTGTTATTATTTTGACTTCCGTGGTTTGAATATTGTAATCATCATCACTCCATCACTATGTCACTATCTTTCAATCATCGTCACCACCGCCACCATTATCCTACCTTCATTATCATCACAATCACTCGCATAATCACCACCACCATTATTGTCTCTGAACTTCAGTTGTCCCTTCTGTTTTAGAGCTTCTGTCTCTCTGATATGCGACACGAGGCGGTTTTGAACTGTAGCCAGTGAGAATACAAAAGACCAGAAATGACAATACTCCCATTTCATATGGCCCTTTTATCTTTGGACAGGTTTAATTTGGAAATTTTGTTTTTGAAGGGGTTTCATAGTTTGTTGCTCTACTTTCTCTCTCTCTGTCTCTCTCTCTCTCTCTCTCTTGTCTCTTGTCTCTCTTTTGTCTCTCTCTCTCTTTTGTCTATCTCTCTCTCTCTCTCTCTCTACTCTCTCTCTCTCTTTTGTCTTTCTCTCTCTCTTTTGTCTCTCTTGCCCTCAGCACTCTCTCCTTATCATGTTCCTGTATATCCACATATTCACATCACCATCTCTATGGTTTTATGTACATCATATAAAGATATATATTTTATTTGAAATATGTAGTAGAAAGAAGTATGCTTGAACATGTAAAAAGGCTGGCAGAATATTGTGCTGCCATTGCTAATATTAATTTATAATTATTGTTATTATTATTATATTATTATTATTATTCTTTTTTTTTTTTGTCCTTTTTCTGTGTTGTTATTATTTTGACTTCCGTGGTTTGAATATTGTAATCATCATCACTCCATCACTATGTCACTATCTTTCAATCATCGTCACCACCGCCACCATTATCCTACCTTCATTATCATCACAATCACTCGCATAATCACCACCACCATTATTGTCTCTGAACTTCAGTTGTCCCTTCTGTTTTAGAGCTTCTGTCTCTCTGATATGCGACACGAGGCGGTTTTGAACTGTAGCCAGTGAGAATACAAAAGACCAGAAATGACAATACTCCCATTTCATATGGCCCTTTTATCTTTGGACAGGTTTAATTTGGAAATTTTGTTTTTGAAGGGGTTTCATAGTTTGTTGCTCTACTTTCTCTCTCTCTGTCTCTCTCTCTCTTTTGTCTATCTCTCTCTCTCTCTCTTTTGTCTCTCTCTCTCTTTTGTCTCTCTATCTCTCTCTTTTGTCTTTCTCTCTCTCTCTTTTGTCTTTCTCTCTCTCTTTTGTCTTTCTCTCTCTCTTTTGTCTCTCTTGCCCTCAGCACTCTCTCCTTATCATGTTCCTGTATATCCACATATCCACATCACCATCTCTATGGTTTTATGTACATCATATAAAGATATATATTTTATTTGAAATATGTAGTAGAAAGAAGTATGCTTGAACATGTAAAAAGGCTGGCAGAATATTGTGCTGCCATTGCTAATATTAATTTATTATTATTGTTATTATTATTATTATTCTTTTTTTTTTTTGTCCTTTTTCTGTGTTGTTATTATTTTGACTTCCGTGGTTTGAATATTGTAATCATCATCACTCCATCACTATGTCACTATCTTTCAATCATCGTCACCACCGCCACCATTATCCTACCTTCATTATCATCACAATCACTCGCATAATCACCACCACCATTATTGTCTCTGAACTTCAGTTGTCCCTTCTGTTTTAGAGCTTCTGTCTCTCTGATATGCGACACGAGGCGGTTTTGAACTGTAGCCAGTGAGAATACAAAAGACCAGAAATGACAATACTCCCATTTCATATGGCCCTTTTATCTTTGGACAGGTTTAATTTGGAAATTTTGTTTTTGAAGGGGTTTCATAGTTTGTTGCTCTCCTCTCTCTCTCTTTGTCTCTCTCTCTCTTTTGTCTCTCTCTCTCTCTCTTTTGTCTCTCTCTCTCTCTCTTTTGTCTCTCTCTCTCTCTCTCTCTCTCTTTTGTCTCTCTCTCTCTTTTGTCTCTCTCTCTCTCTCTCTCTTTTGTCTCTCTCTCTCTCTCTCTCTCTCTCTCTCTCTTTTGTCTCTCTCTCTCTCTCTTTTGTCTCTCTCTCTCTTTCTTTTCTCTCTCTCTCTCTCTCTCTCTCTCTCTCTCTCTCTCTCTCTCTCTCTCTCTCTCTCTCTCTCTCTCTCTCTCTCTCTCCTTCCTCTCTCTCTCTCTCTCTCTCTCTCTCTCTCTCCTTCCTCTCTCTCTCTCTCTCTCTCTCTCTCTCTCTCTCTCTCTCTCTCTCTCTCTCTCTCTCTCTCTCTCTCTCTCTCTCTCTCTCTCTCTCTCTCTCTCTCTTTTGTCTCTCTCTCTCTCTCTTTTGTCTCTCTCTCTCTCTCTCTCTCTCTCTCTCTCTCTCTCTCTCTCTCTCTCTCTCTCTCTCTCTCTCTCTCTCTCTCTCTCTCTCTCTCTCTTTGTCTCTCTTGCCCTCAGCACTCTCTCCTTATCATGTTCCTGTATATCCACATATTCACATCACCATCTCTATGGTTTTATGTACATCATATAAAGATATATATTTTATTTGAAATATGTAGTAGAAAGAAGTATGCTTGAACATGTAAAAAGGCTGGCAGAATATTGTGCTGCCATTGCTAATATTAATTTATAATTATTGTTATTATTATTATTATTATTATTATTATTGTTATTATTATTTTTTTTATTATTATTTTTTTTATTATTATTATTATTACTACTACTACTAGTGTTATTATTATTATTATCATTATTATTTTTTTTTTGTATCATTAATATTATCACCATCGTCGTCATCATTATCATTGTTTTATTATTATCATCATTATTATTATTGTTGTTGTTTTTTTATTATTATTATTCTTTTTTTTTTTTTAGTATTATTATCATCATCATCATCATTATTTATTATTATGGGGATAATTATGATTATCATCAGTATTCAGTTGTATTGTCATTATGGTTTTAAAACAGTAATGAACATTTTCTTATGCAGCTTTTTTTAATTTTGCAGCTAACTTTAATTGAGGTACTTGGGTAAATCTAATTTGTTACCTGGTGAATGTCATCTTCTTAAATAGTATTTGTTCAAGAAACACCATTCTGTGAGGACAAGGGAGACAAGGGTCATATTAATACACTGTCTCAGCTCATTCAATCCAAAGGCATAGCCAACATTCCCTGCCACTGCTTTTTTATGGCATCGTTTCAGCAGCAACTGAGTCCCCAAGGCACCCTGAGGGCAAGAGTCAGTGAGCTCATGTGATTGACACTTCTACTTTAGAATTAGACATTCCTTGAATTTTTGTTCCGAGATTTTCCTTTGCCTGATTGAGGGGGGGGGGGGGGCCTGCATGTCTCAGCTTGCCGTAACTGTCATTTTTTTAGAATTATTACTGTTATAGTGGTTATTTTTTATTTTTATTATTATTTTACTGTCGTTTTCAACATCATTATCATTGTCCATGCCACTGTCATTATCATCATCAGTACCAGTATCATTATCATCAGCAGTCCTTGTTTATATGCTCTTGTTTATTGAATCATTAATATCATTTTTTGTTCATTATGCATGCTGTGAAATGCTATTGTATTTTTAACAAGGGGAAGAGATGTCAGTCATTATTGGTCAGTCATATTTTCTTGTGGATTATGACGTGATATCTCACACTGAAAAATTAATGTATAAATAAATTAGCATTATCTCACTGAGTACAGTTCAAAAGTCTGGCAATGCTCTTATATTTAAAGAAAAATATATATACATAGTAATGTACAGTATTTTACCATTGTTTTAGACTCCTTAAAATGTAGTGTGGTCATTCATCACTGAATTGGGTAAAAGAGTGATTGCTACTTATAAGCGAAACACTGGCTGTTTTATTTTTGTATTTTTGAATCTCTTTAAAAGTCTAGTATGAAGTCTTCAATTAGAAACATTGTTTAAGTTTTGTCTTATAACAGTGTATGGAAAAAGTGTTACTAATTAAATAAGAAATTTTTATATATTTTATTTCAGAAACTAAGCCATGATTGTTATATTGTAAATGTTTTATACCTGATTATTGTGGAACCACAGATGATTTTCCAACCCAGAAATTGGATCCTTTATTCAGAAGAGTATTAAAAGTGAATATGAATGCCAGATTTGATGTTGTATTGCCATATTTGTAAATTTTCATACTATTAACTGCTATTATGCTTTAGATATGTAAGAAAGTGATGCAAGTGTAAAAATATTACATATAAATGAATTTATAGTCATCACCTGAATTATTGGATTTTATCTTTCATCAGTTGATAGTCTCTAACTTGTTCAAAGAAAACATATACTGTTGACATGATGAGATGCTGTTAGGAAAGTTAGGTGAAAATATTTCCTTTCTTTATGGAGGAGGATCAAGGGGTCATCATGACTAAAGCTGTTTATTCATGTTTATCCTTTGAAAATATGCATCATGATGTAAATACAAATTGTGCATACATGCAAAAGATGTAATAGTGTTTGATATAAAGAATTAATGCATAAATGATATGATTTGCCTGACATTTTGAATCACCCACCATCATTATTGATGAATGCCATACAACACATTCATGACTAGATGAACTTACTGAAAAATAGTATTTGTTTGTGGCTACACATACATGCTTCCTTTTTTGTGTGTTTGTGTGTGTGTACGTGCGTGCTTGTCAGACAATCTGTCTTTTTTTGTTTGGAAGTGTGTTCATAATGATGTATATCTGCATGCATGTTTGTGCAGTTAGCCATTCAACTGACACAAGTGAGGTTCCTTGAAGATGTATATTGATATCATGTAAAAAGCGCTTAAAGGAACTAGGATATTATATACCCACCACATAAGATAGCCTCCCTAATCCATGTTTTCAGCATCAAAATACTATAGTTAAAAAAAAAAAAAAAAAGTATAGGTGAAAATATTTGTACAGTAGCCCTATACTGATACCCTTACCCCCCTTTGCTGGTTACAGGGGTAGAGATAGATTTTACAAGACAAAATCTGCTAAAATAAAAACATTAAAAAAGAATACTGTCTTTTCCCCACTATATTTCAGTTTAATTTTGGCATTATAAGGTGACCAAAATATTACTCTAGAGTCAAATAAGGTCTTTTGATGTTGGGGGTAAAATATTACCAAATAAAACTGAAACTAAATCATTGTGCAATTGGTCTTCATTATGAGAAGTGACTGAGTATTTATGTAGATTAATAATATTAAGTATAGTACTTGCAAAAGATAAGCCACTGCAATATATATATTTATTTTATAATAGAAGATTCACAATATACCAGTTACTCAAAGTCACAAGCAATTCTTGTTCCCCTAAATTATTTAAGCTTAACTATGCTTGAAACTGAAATCCCACTAAGAAATTCTCCATACTAATCATCTGTCAAGAATGGACTACCACAT